AAGTGAATCGAGCGCCTGTGTGTCCACATACTGGAATCAACCGAAGTCCCAATGAACTTTGACATCGACATCGCCATTGAACGTGATTTTTCAGGATTATGGCGCACAATGACGGAGGGTTGAGATGCTTGTCCAATATTCCTCTGAGTGACATCCGTGAAGCCGAGAGCCGTTTGAGGGGTGTGTCAGTGCGGACACCACTCATACCGTATAATGTTGAGGATTGCAGCGGACAACAGGTATGCTGTTTCTTATTTACGGTATGTAAAATTGTAGACGACGAAGATGGCAGCCCGGATAAGCACCCTTGACACCATTGTAATTACATGTTCATTCATAACTATTCCTTTCAGTATGGCATTTCCGACATGACAGTGAACCATAGACCTTATAAAGAGGTCTGTGAACAAACATGGACAAGTTTATAACTCTGCTGGCGTATATATGCAAACATGAGTATTATTTCTGCTCCGATATGACCTCGGGATGGTAGCCTGCAAATTATACCCGATTGAAGCCTGTTTTCAATGTCATTGTTATGCTGGAGAGTGGTGGTCGTATCGCCGCGCATGCGTGACACTTTTGTTGATAAACATTGACTTTCCCATAATCCAATGCGCTCTTCTAATGAAATCGCGAATACAAGTTTTCACCTTGGCACGACTTGCGCTATATATCACCGGCGACTCCTTCGATATTTTCAATCACCAAAGAAACTACCTAATTACAGCTTGGTAAATACTGCGCAAGAGTCGCCATCTGTGTTTATATGAGACCCATATCTCACGCATGCGCGGTGCGACGACGACCGCCCTTTAATTGTTATGTTATACATCCTTATCATCTCAATATCATTGAGATTTATTTGTTCAAAGAAAGAGAGAGGGGTGGGCATCTCATTTGAGTATTCAAATTTGACGAAATTTCCTTACCACCAATTGAAAAATTATTATTGGGCGTTGTCCTGAAAGTTGATGAGGAAGCACAGAGTTACTACTGGTTTGTATAGTCTCTCAATATCACTGACACATTTATCATTTTTATTCATAGATATATCTAAAGTTGGAAAACTTACAGACAATTGGTTCTTTTAAACTGAGGGGTGCATACTATGCGATCAAATGCCTTGACCCCAGTGTTTTGAAGCATGGTATATGCACATCAAGTGCTGGTAACTTTGGACAGGGCTTGGCGTGGAGTGCCAAACAATTGGACATACCGTGTACTGTAATTGTGCCAGAAAATGCTCCCACAATTAAACTGGAAGCCATTGCAAGACATGGTGGAAATAATGTCAGCATTAAACAAATACCATACTTGGAGTGGTGGGATGTTATGTGTAAACACTATTATCCGGGAATGCAGGGGACATTTATTCATCCTGTCTGTGATGCTGATGTCATTGCAGGTATTTTATAAGTGATTACACTTAATTTCACATGGAAGCTATGAACTTAAGTATTTGTTATTATTAAGTTAGCAAGCACGCCCTCATGCTCTCACTGGATTCATCGCCGCCAACGCTTACAAAACGTTCACATGGCGCGTCTTAATGGGTCTGCGCCAAAAAAAAAAAAAAAAAAAAAAAAACACATTTCGTCGAAAGTCCAAATTATGTTGTACAGTTACTAAATATCATCCAATGTGGTACACATTGATAAAAGTTACAATCACAAAACTTTTATATTTATTTAATTATTTTTCTGTTACGTTTTAAACAAATAAATATAAATGAACCGTGTCTGTAACGTAATCAATCGTGATTATAACATACAA